CATCCAAAGTAAAACAATGAAGCCAAATTTATAAAGCAGTTAGTTATCATCAAGAAGGATATTAAAGGAGTACCTTTAATTTCAAGCTGCAACCACACTCCAAAGTAATGTGAACTAGCAGATGCGAAAGCTTCCCCCAATGTGTCAATCTCACACTAAAAAATGTTACCAAAAGAGTTAAGTCATGATTTGTAAAGTGGCACTGTAAAGTATGTAAGTTTAAACACTTCACTATCCTTGCAATAAACATAACAATTGGATTTGACAATAGAGAGATAGAAATGGGTATTAAAGGTGTGGCCAAATTTACACAAAATTGCATGAATTATGGTGATATTTCAAACAAGACTTTTAAAATTATACTATAACTTTGGAATTTCTAAACTAAAAATATTAGATCTTTTATTCATTTTATTCTTCCTCAAAGGAATGTATGATTTTTATGTAAATACACTTCCTCAGAACATAAATTATGCTTTAGTGAAGGAAGATTACTCGACTCAATACAGTATGATCGAATGAAATAGATACATTGAGATAGATACAGCTGATGTAGGTGGTCTACCGGTCTCTTATGATTTTTAAACGGCCACAAGGCTGCAAGTCTCTGTACATCAAGAGTATCTTTCACTCAGGGTTTAGCAGAAGCGTAGGGAGAGTCCCTTCTGAACTGGTGGGCGCAGAAGCGCTTGCCTCACACGCAAGCACCATCTGGTAACATAGAATTAGTGGCTATTTATTTTCAGGACATTGACAGTATTTTCTGACATACACCTTGCCACACTAGAATGAAGTGCTCTTTATTTTAAACAGGAAATTACTCCCCACTCCACCCCTCCCCCTAATCTCCACTATTCTTACCAGAACAGAAGACACTAGAGTTTAAATGAATTTTTAAACATACAGAATGATTGGACATATTCTTGATACAGACAAGCTGCTGCCTCCAACACAGACTTAGCATGCCTATACTGAAATTTGTAGGCAGGCAGATCTAGCAGTGAAAACAGAGGTTGCGAGTTGAAGAAAAAGTAAGTATTTTATTAATGATAATGAATCTGACTAGAAAGTCTAGAAATTTAAAATCTCACATATAACATTTTTTTTCTAAAGTTGTGGGAAAACTATGCTATACTACTTGCCTACATAAGGAAAGAAAATAAAATCACCAGATCACACTTGACAAGTCAAACACTAATATTACCTAGCAAGGAACTAGTCCAGAATAATTCCAACAAAAACACTAGAATGTTACAAGTTGGTTAGAAAGTGAGGGGAAGAGACTGACCTTTTCCCAGCTACCTTAATTTCTCCTCCAAGTAATCATCATCAAACTGTACTTTAAAATGCTAATGCTAAAAGCATTCCTACAGAAACATTCAAGGAAAGTCTGGAGAAACAAAAGATACTGAAAATAGTGCCAGAAGTGGTTAGGTCTTGAGCTTCTTTTAAGATCTTACTACCTGGAAAACAGTCAGTGAGTCAGCCCAAAACACTACAAAACAGTTCTGAAAGACAGCCTCTACTGGGATCAAAAACCA